AGATTTGGCACTTTTCATACTGGACTCTGCAAGTCAATACAAAAAAATAAAAATGAGTAAAAAAACAAGGCAAAGTTAAGGGCATTCTTTAAGGTTAAGAGAATCAGAATTAAGGGTATTGCCGTTGTAAGTCACAACCTCGGAGTTTGCTTTGGCTCATGGTGCAAACATGTTGTGGTGTCTGCTATTTTAACTTCATATGTATAGAATGTGATGATACAATGTCAGTACTCAATGTCTAAGTCTGCTGACCCTTTTCTAAATCATAAAGCCAATGTGATGTTTAGAAAGACACTAGGACCTGCATCTCGGAAGCGTCTGAGTCATGAGACTGCAATGTCCTGTGGAGGCACGGTTTGTTAAAATAGTGTCTTATGACATTTGGACACAATTACAGCTGACTCGACCCTTCTCTGGGGTCCATGGGGCTGTGGACATCTGGAAGGACCATAAGAGCCTGTAGTGAGACCCTCAGGCTCAGACTCAGAGATACAGAGTTTAACCAGGACTGGTCTACAAGATTATTGAATGACACATGTGTTTACAACATCCGGTGACTTGACCATGAGGCTTCTCTGCTGCTACTGAAGAGAGCAATGTTGAAAAGAAAACACATTTTACAAGCGTTTTATCCTCTGACAAACAGAAAATGAACGGCTAAAAGGCTCGCCCTTGTTGCTTATTATGACTGTGCTGCTGCAAAATCCATAAAACACACTCTTGGGAACAACACACCGGACAAACATATATTAACATCTCTTTGGGTTGTTTTATTTGTACACATTGTATTTTTATGTGGTGTGTTTATGATCCTGGATGTTGTTGTTGATGTAGGACAGAAAATAATGAGAAGAAAATGAGAGAAAAACAGGAAAAACAATCAAAAAAACAAGGAAGAAAATGAAATGACATTTTGTGGATAACTTACACTGACACTGCTTTCCTGACCGTCTTCTCAAGGGCGTCAGTGGCTCAGGTGGTAGAGCTTTGGCCTTTGAGCCAGAAGGTCGTAGGTTCGAGTCCACTTTCACCATCGACTCCCACTGTCTGCTGTCGTTGTGTCCTTGGGCAAGACACTTAACCTCTGGGAACAGCAGGTGCCACAGTGGGGCGACTGCGCTGTGTCCTTAGGCAAGACACTTCCCCCACATTTGAATGAGTCTGGTGTGTGTGTGAATGGTTGGTGGTGGTGGGAGGGGCCGATGGCACAGACTGGTTGCCTCGCTTCTGTCAGTGTGCCCCAGGGCAGCTGTGGCTACAGTAGTAGTTTATCACCACCTTGTTTGGAGTCAAAGAATAATGACACATGTGAAGCGTCTTTGAGGGTCCAAAAAAGCGCTGAATAAAATCAATCAATCAATCAAAGTTTATTTGTAGAGCGCCTTTCATACACATGGCAACACAAAGCGCTTCACAGTCCACATCACAAATCATCACATAAAACAAACACCAGAATCACAATTAAAACATTAAAATCACACAAAAGATTAAAACACAATTAAAACATTAAAATCACACAAAAGAATAAAACCATTAAAACTTTCAAAATTACACAAGAAATTTAAAAAAATAAATAAATGACAGCAGTGCATTAAAAATGGAGATAAAACCAATGTATTATTATTATTACTCCAGGGTAGTTACATTTATAAATATTTTTGGAGATACAATGGCCATAAATGCATTGTAATGCAGATAAGATATATTTGGTCCACTGGTTAATGTTTAGAAACGTGTGCTTTACGAATACATGTGGCTTTACTTATAATAATAACAAAGTCTGAGCAAAAATGTGTTAAAATGACACACATAAAACAACACATTGGATTTTTAAATAGTGTTGTTTTGCTTCAGCCTTTTCTATTTTACCGTCAATAATTAACCACGTCATTAAATGCCTATTAGGGGACAGATTCGCTTCATGTCTACGCCAACGAACCAAAAATATTCAGATGTCCGGATAGCCACGTATTACGATCATCCATCGTTCCATTAGGGTCAATTAGCGTCCGAAATGAAAATATCAAAATGGCGCTTGAATTGCAGATTAGCCTGTGTCTATGAGTAAAAGCAGCGGCGGCGGGGGGAACAAAAGTGCCGCTTTAATCCGCTGGGAAAAGGTCAAGGAGAGAAGACTGTTGATCCGACGTTGGCGCTGTGAAGAGAGCACTCAGACAGATTACAAGAACCCCAAGCACAATTTATTACCTCTCGCGGCGCTTTATCCACAGTGATTAACAGAACATTGACAAAGCGTTCAGGACAAAACTCTCAAGTTTTTAGTTTGACAGTGATAAACAATAGACTGCGGCGTAAGCAGAGAAAGAACTGATTTAATTATCGATGTATTTCCGTGTGTGTATCGTTTAGCTGCTTCTACTTTTGTTTTTTTCCGAGTTCGAAGCTTAGCAAGTGACTCGTGCTTTGTATCGTTTCACGAGTCTCGAGTCTGAACCGGCAAAGTCCATGAGTTTCCAGTCCTCGCTCAAATGCATAGGAATTGGTTTATTATTTGTGCTTCATGACATATGATTGTTTCCATGAAGAATGTCCCTCAGTTACTGTTCAGATTCAGATTCAATAATAATAATAATGCATCAGCCACCACCAACCATTCACACACACACCAGACTCATTCTAGGCAATGGGGGTGAAGTGTCTTGCCTAAGGACACAACTCTACAGCCGCAACCGCCCCACTGTGGCTGGTGTTCCCAGAGGTT